GTGCCTGTAGTCCCAGCTCGCCCCCGCCCTCTCTGCCCGACGCGCGCAGTCTGGCCTGGAGAACCCTAGCCTTGCAGCGCCACTTCACAACAGCCGGGCTCACCTGGAAGGAGGGCACTTCTCCGTCCCCGGGGGACACGGCCTGCCAGGGGTCAGGCAGGCTGGCGTTCAGGGAGAGCCTGTAGATGGCCGGGTGGCCTTGTCCCTTCACAGTGGAGATGTACACGGTGCCCAGGGCCTCTAAGGAACAATGCGGGAGGGTGGGGCACTCAGTCTGACTGGCTGCCCCCTCTGGCTGTCCACTGTGGGGCTGAGCCTGACCTCAGCCTCCTCTCCCACTGCTGACTTACGGGACCAGCCATGTGACGACGGTGGCGGGTGGTGGCATGGATAGCGGCTGGGATGAAGCGAGGGAGATGACCAGGAAGGAGTCAGGGTGGGAACAATGGTGTGAATGAAGTGGCTGGTGCTGTATTGACAGCGATGGGGACAGAGGTGGTGACAATGGCCATGGGGTCAGAGAGCTACCTCAGGCTATGGGAGGAGAGGAGCTAATACCCACACTACCCCCAGTGGAGACCCTGGCAGGGACAAGCCAGCCTTCCCAGGGCACTCAGGATGGGCTAGCCTGTAGTGAGGGCTCAGGGAGCACCACGGGCCAGGCTGGGAGGCAGCAGGCGACCCTGGAGTTGTGGGGAGGCGTTGGGATCGGGGGCTGGGGACTGTGTTCACCCCACCCCCAAAACTCCTGGCCCAGTGACAGAGGCTCTTGTTCTCTGGAGGCAATCAAGCCCCACAGCCAGCACCAAGGAGGGTTTCCAACCTCCTGCCCTGCCATTTCCCACTGACCCTGCTGAGCCGCCTCAGGCCGACTGGCCCAGGCCAGCCCCGAACCTCTCTTCCTCTTCTCCAGGGATGTCCGGATGTTGCTCTGCAGGCTGTGGGGCTTCTCCTGGAACAGACCTGCCCCCCACAGCCCATGTCAGTACGGCGGGGCTTCCCTGGCTGCACGGGTTGGCCCCAATCCCGGCGAGGGAGCAGTGACAGCCCCAGGAGCGCACCCCCAGGGCGCTCAGCCTCGAGACAGTGCCAGATCTGGAGTCTGAAATTAGATGGAACTGAGACACCATCATCGACTTCATCGCCAGGCACCGCTGGGCCCAGCCTGGACAAAGGCACCGCAGCTGTCCCGTCACCCTCCCTGAGCCTCACTCTCCTCCTCTGTCAAATGGGCACCTCAGGGGGGGGCGGCCTCCAGGATGCTGCGTCTCCTGCCCTCAGCCTCACGGCCGGCATGTGATAGACGCTCAGTAAACAGAAGCAACCAGAAAAAGAACGCTAACCAGCACGCAGGCCAGATGGAGACTGTCTGGTTTTGCCCCAAGCATTGTGGATTCCTCATGGCTTTTTCGGTTGTTGTTCTATTTTTTAATGAGAGAAATTCTACAGCTTCAAGTTTTTAATCCTCATAACAATCCAAGGAGGTCGGAATCATTAACCCCATTTAAAGGAGGAAAAACAGAGGTTCAGTGACCTGAGCAAGATCACACGGCTTAGAAGGAGAGGCCGAGTCCCTGCGCTGCTCCGGGAGCTCCCTGTGCTGTGGCCCAAGGCCACGGCCGCACAGACGTGGGCTCGTGGGGCTGTGTTCCAGAGGACTCAGGACACAGGGCTGTGGTCTCAACAGCAGTGGGTCCCCAGCCTTTCTGGGTCCTCATGATGTCAAGAGGGACTTCAGGGTCTGCAGGGGAGACTCTGGCTAGGGTAAGGTGACCAGATGGACAGTCCCGAGTTTTGGCCTTTTAAAAAAGTCCAGATTTTTA